GTAACATTGTTGGTGTGGTGTAAGAATGTTAACACTATGTAATATTTCTACTTGTGTGATGTAAAAGATAATTATCAGAGTATGTAATTATGTAAGAATGTTAACAGTCTGTAATATTTTTTAGTATATCACTAGCGTGGTGTAGAACAAAATTATCTATGTAGAGATACTGCTTGCAAACCAATGATGGTAAGATGATGTCATGGGGTAGGACTAGATAAGTCTAACTTCTTCCTACTCCGTTCAAGCATGTACTAGGTATAAGCACATTGATAATGGATTAGCATTTGTGGATATGTGTGAAATTATGTGTGTTGACATATCGACTGTCTTTACATGCTTGAAAGAATAAAATCAATCAATCAATATTCTTTGAGCATGAAGCCAGCGTCTGCTCTCTCCACAGTGACCCTGCAACTCTGTCTTACTGCAGCTCCCAGTGGTCCTTCAGCACCTTGAGTTCTGTCACACAGCTTTCTGCACACTGCTGCGGGTATGTTCGAACAACTACACACACACAGTCACAGAGAAACAACACCAAACAGTCACTTTTAAAAATGTGTTTCTTAGGTGTGTTTCCCACCCCTTGGTGAAGAAAAACAGAAGAGTCGTTCTTGCCTCATTCCTTCTCCTCATAACTGGAGTTGGTGAGTAGGTGTTTCTCACTCATTAAATCTAAAATATCTAACCAGAATATTATAATGTGGTTCTAATACTTAAAGAACTAATTATATTGATAGTGTTCTACACCTGCTTTTTCATGTTTTCTTAGATGTTTTTCTTGTCACAATAAAAATGTGTAGCCATAATGGCTCTCACCCTTTACATTACTTTGCATCAATTGCATAAAATGTAGATCATTTAGGAATTTAAATTGATTCAGCTTTTCACTTGGATGGAACACATAACACATTACAACTGAATGACTATAATCAAAAATGAATATTTTAAAAAGCACCAAAACCTTTTCATTTGATTAAAAAGCACTTTAACAGCTCCATTATTGTAACATAAACCTACTGCTTTGGATAGTTTAGTTGTTTCACACCAGGTAGTTTGTTCAGTCTTGTGTCAGTGGGTGACGCAGTTCACATACTGAACTTTGTCCTCCAGTGTTTATTATAGGTTTTTGCCAGAATACCAGAGTTAATGAAAAATGCACTGCTTACATGTTATATTTGTTTGGAATGTCTTTCTGCTTCACTAATACACTTGTGTATTGTTTCTGTTTAGCTCTTATTTTTACGGGTGTTGTCATACAGCTGAATCCAAATGCAGGTAAGGAAGAGAAACCATTAGGGTACACTTGTTTTTGATTCCTGTGTCCAGAAATGACACAATGAGTTTGTTAGTCCAGAGAAAAGACAAAAAAAATTACTGCAAGACTACAAAGATTTTTGATATTATTAATAAGCTTATGATGCTTAATGAGTGTACTGGATAATTTAAAAGCCAGGTTTTGCTTGAAAAGTAGTTAAAAGCACAGTAAATTACTGCACAAGCTCATACAAACACAGAATAGAAACAATTTTTTTCCTACAAATTAGTGTAATTACTAAACCATAAACAAAACATAACAAATTACTAACTCACAAAACAAATTAATTCATTGGGTAAAAAAAAAAGTTACAAAGCATCTCTGTATTTAAACAAATTACAATTATGTCTTGGCCTCTCTTTGAATTTAAATGGTATAATTCATAATAGTACATTTTTCCTGGAGTATGAATGTGTATCCTGGCAGCCCACAAATATAGCTTGGCACTTCTTTTGGTTTTGGACCCTGTGATACCATTACACACACTCGGCTGGGTTGGTGGTGAAGAAGCACCAGTTTATCAAGGTCAAAGTCCTTTTCGATGATACAGGACAGTGTTGTCCAATGTGGTGTTTAAGACCAGTCTGTCCCGGACATCTTCTAGGTCTGCTGTTACAACTGGTGTGAAGAACTGCAAACAGCAAAAACATGCAGGACATGTGGGCCTGTAAGGTTTAGGTTATACATGAGGGTCTAGACTTTTAATCATCCAGAAGATGGCAAAAGATGAAAATAAAGTGAATTTTCTTCTTTTAGAAACTGCTTTCTCAAGCATCTGGAGTGTTATCACACACATAGGGTAGCAGTGTATAAGTCTGGTAGCTGCTTTGCAGCTAAATTTGAAGCTAGCCATTGTAGTACTACAATTAACTGCAATGTTTTAATAAAAAGATAAAAGGTGGGAATTACATTTCTGCATAGATACAGTATGTCTGTAAGAACATTTTGCAGAAATTACAAAAAAAATGTATTTTCAAAATTTGAACATTAAATTGTCAGTTTAGGTTTTAAGTGTTATCTTAAGTGCTTTTACGTAAGTAAAAGTAAAGTAAATGGGACCCCAATTTTATGTCATGCTAAATGAAAGCATTAAAATTGGGATCCCGTTTACTTTTGGCATCTGTACAACTTGACAATCAGTACATTGTTTGACGTTTTGGGAAATAACCTTGTGTGTTTATGTGGGTTGTGGGTGGTGCACGGTAACTTTCCGGAGTCATCTGGCAGTGCTGCTCAGCCTTGACAACTGTATCGATCATCTCATCTAACTCCCACCAAGAAAAACAACAAACATGTTTTCTAAAATATAGAACTATCCCTTTAAGGTGCAGTTACATTGATTATTATTGGGGACTGTGTCTTTGCTGTGGGTTGTAACTAATGAAACTGTCCTTACAGATGTTTCAAGTGCTATTTTCTTTGTACCTGGATTTCTTCTCTTCATCCCTGGAGGTAAATTTATCAATTTAGTTGCTAAAGCTTTTCCATGCCTCTTATTTTTCTTTTCTGTGCCTCCTCTCTGTACCAGTAAATGCATATGTTGTTTTGTTGGCAATAAAAATATCATTCCCTGTATGTCCTCCAGTGTACCATGTGATATACATCTGCTGTGCTGTCCATGGAAGGAGAGGCTTCAAGCTGTTCTACCTACCTTATTTTGAAAAATAGCATCTTATGAGACACTAGATCTTCACTGCATTTCTTTTTTTGCTGTCTTAAAATGAATTGTATTTTGTCACTTGTAACAAAAGCTTATTGACAGATGGTTGTTTTTTTTCTTGTCATTGTAATGACCACTACTAATTCAACCACTCAGTGCCTAGACTGTGTTTCCACTACCTGAACTGACATTGCTGTATGTGGACATGAGAAAGAAGGAGACTGGTCATGCCTGTGTTTTCTATGTTGTGTGAATAATGACTGTGAAATTGCAATAAACTTTTGTATATTTTATCATTGAGTAAGTTTCCCAGTATGCCTTGCTCAGGTGTGGGTAAATAAGGAAAATGCTCAGTACAGAGATTGTGGCTCCCATGTATTGAACTACATTTATTTAATGTACACCTTAGAATGGATCGTTCTTCTTGTGCAGTTTGTTGTCAAAACATTTTACTTAATTTTTATTGTCTTGGATCTGAATTTGGATTTTAATTTACAAAACATAAGGTTACAGGAGCCATGCTTGTGTTCTGTGCTTTGACTTGTTTTGTGATTGTAGCATATTTACTTAGGACTGCCGGTGGTGGCCAGCTTTAAAGTTTACAAAAGAGACTAAAACCAGACCAATGTCCACCAGATAGTTCAAATTTGTGCCTTCCAGCCAGCCACAAAAACATTCACCTACCATATTCACCATATTGTATATTGCCATCTGCTGGTTATCTATTTAGTTACCTCCTAAGCTTGTGAATAAAAAAAAAAATATTATATGAAAATATTTTATTGACATAATATATTGTGACTTGATAGTTACTGTATACTGTTCACTGTTATGTCATTGTCATTTATATGTTGTCATACACAAACAATAAATGCATGTATACACACACACAGTATGGGTGCATATGGCCGTGAATGAGTGACATCTCGAAATGTAGTAAAGTTGCATTAGATTAAGACATCTTAAGTTAAGTACATGAGCCTAAAAGTTGTTCATAAGTACGGTACTTGAGTAACATTGCAAAATGGTGATGTAAAACACGATGTTATGTTTGCTGTGTGATAAAAGTTAAACGCCATGAGCAAACAGCACATTTTCAGAAATTAGGATTTAACGCATTATGCACATTTTCATGAGTTATTATGATAGACAGTTAAAAGTTTTATTTTGTTTCAGTTTTATGGTAATGAAGAAGGAGTCAGACGTAGAGGGCGCGCTGAGGCTAGAAGTGACGCACGACTGTCAATACGCATGACGAAATGGCTTGGCTTCGGTAAACATCGCCATATGTCGTGAACAGAGGCTCGGTGAATGATGGAGGAAGAGGCACGTAAGCTTCTCGAAGAAGGAATAAGAAAGAAATTGGTCAGTCCTGGGAAAGGAGAGCTATCGACATTCCCCAATGGAACCAAGGTAACGCTGCAGTGTTAACGAACGGTTCAACGGGTTTTGTGTTGTCCTCTGAGTGCGATTAGGAGTTACGGCAAAGCAGATTAGCTAACAATGCTATCATTAATTAGCTGTTTTTGCTAGCGGGCACATTAGACTAACAAACAGTGAGTTGGTTAGATTAATGTGCCAGAGAGCCCGTTGCGCTTGTTCGCAGACAACGCTGGCAATGTTCGAAGCTGCCGATGAGGCGAAATAATGTAAGACTTGGTTATGGCTGGTTTTTTTGGGGGG